TCAGTATGATTTAATCTTCCCTTCAGCTAGACACACCATGAGTGTATACCTGCATTAAAGTACAAGAAGTGAATTCTTAAGTGACAAGCATTAAAACAAGTATAGATACCTGCCCCTCCGTAACATAATCAAAATAGAAGATTTTTTTGTGCAAACTTGTCAAGGAATCAGGTAATCTTGTGCATCCCCCAGCCTTATCCTGTTTTTTAATGAAACATTCTTTACTCAATGACTCTGTAAGGATATCAGTCAGCTGGTCTTCAGTCTTATAGAACTTCATCACCACATTTTGCTTCTCAACATTGTCCCTCAAGAAATCAGTGATGATCCAAGAAAATATGCCATGCCTGATGTACTCTTTCGATCTACAAGAAAGCCTGCATAGTCAGCATCTGCAAAAACCAATTAGATCAAGTGAGTCACCTGTTAGGTAGAAGAGGACCAGGTCCTGAGTTCCCTTCAAATATCTCAGGATACGTTTGGCTGCCTTCAGGTGAGACTCCATTGGTTGCTGCTTGAAATCTTGCACACATTTCTACACAGAACATTATGGCTGATCTGCATGCTGTAAGGTATAAGAGTGACCCAATAATTCCCCTATACATGGTCTGAATGACCTCCACGCCATTTTCATCTCTATTAAGTTTCACACTTGTGCTTATAGGAGTATCCAACACCTTTGCCTCAAGAAGATTAAATTTCTTAAGCAGCTCTTTGATGTACTTCTCTTGGCATATTGAAATGTCTTGGGAGGTTTGTTTGATCTACAAGCCTAGGAAGAAAGTGAGTCCTCCCATCATGCTCATTTCAAACTCACTGCTCATCAGATCAGCGAGTTCCTTGCAAAGTAGATTTGTAGTGGCTTAAAAAATGATATCATCCACATAAACCAAGCTCTGGGAGCTTGTTTCAATCCATACAGAGCCTTGTCTAACTTCAACACATGATCTGGCAGTTCTGCATCTTCAAAGCCTGGGGGCTATTTGACATATACTTTTTCTTTCAGATTCCCATTCAAGAAGGCACTATTGACATCCATTTGAAAAAGTTTGAACTCCATGTGAGCAGCAAATGCAATCAAGATTCTGATGGCTTCCATTCTAGCTACAGGAGCAAAAGGTCTCATCATAATTAATCCCTTCTTCTTGGTTATAACCCTGTACTACCAGTCTTGACTTATTTCTAGTAATGATTCCATCTCATCAAATTTGTTTCTGAAGACCCATCTGGTCCCAATAATGGTTTTGTCGAGTGGTCTGGGGACCAGGTGCCACACTTTGCTTCTCTCAAACTGATGAAGCTCCTCCTGCATTTAAGTTACCCAGTTTACTTCCTTCAAGGCTTCCTTGATGTTCTTGGGTTCAATGGATGATATAAAGGCTGAATATGCAACTAGATTTCTTGTCCTGGATCTAGTTTGAATTCCAGAGTCAAGTGGAAAAATGAGATTGTCCGGTGGATGAGAAGATTGATGTTTCCATCTGGACTTTTTGCTCGACTCTTCTTCTGCATCAGCATCAGATTCAGCATCATTATCTTCTGGACTTTGAGAAGGAGTCCCCTGGGTAGTGATAGAGGGACCATGTACTCCTGTGAGATCTGCACCATTTTCTTCTGCAACCTGTTGGCTTTCAGGATTTAGGATTGCCTTGTTTTCCCTTTCTTTGATCAGCTCCTCTATTTCATGGTCTCCCTTATGAGCATCAATTTTCTCAGACTCATCAAAAGTCACATGCATGCTCTCTTCAACACATTGTTTATACACTGGATAAGCCTTGCTGGAGGAAGAGTATCCCACAAATACTCTTTCAACATTATTGAGATTACACTTCTCAATATCATCATTTTGGTTACAAAACATGTACTATTCACCATTTCAGCCCAAAAGTCTTTTGTAAAATTAACAGCCTGTATATTCCACTTGAAGGATGGTCTGATCTGCTTCTTTTTAACACAAGCATCACAAACTTTGTCATCGGTAAATTTTATTTTGAGCATATCGAGGACCAGGTCCCTTGAAACAAGTTTGT